TGTAAGAATGCAGATTGAACATAATGAGATGAACGGTGACAACTGAGCAAAATGTTCATCCGTTCAAGAAATAAATCCCATGTAACTTGACATCGCCATCTTCATACACCTCGTTTGCAACCAAAATCTGAATAGAAGCAAGAGTATTTTACATTTCGTCATGAGTTGTCAAATGCATAGTACCGGTACGTACCAATTCATGCATCCTTGCAACAAAATCTCGGCGGCGCTTAATTGTTCGCTCTTGCAAGTTTTTTAGTTCTGTCGGGACGCTCTTTCGGTCTGATAAAAATACGAACGGCGTTCTGGGTTGACGAGTAGGAGTTTCAAACCCCGCATAAGAGGTTTTCGGAACTCTCGCTGTTTGTGGCGTAAATAACGTCCTAGATGGAGTGTCACTAAGAGACGCCCCACCGATCAGTGGTGATTCGCTTCCGACCGTCATTTCTATGTGCCTTTCTGTTGCGAGACTTCGATTGAATAGTGAGCTCTATTGCTGGAGAAATATTGTGTCTAGAAGGGGTCCGGAGAGCCTGAACTATGGATCGATGGATTTGAACCTAACAATCATGCTGAACTTCTTATTACTATTTCTGAGAAATTCAAAATGTCTTCGATGCATTTCTCATACGGTACCCAGGTACGGTACGTACGGTATCGTACGAACTGCTCCGCCCACAGTCAGGAAACTCGAACTTGTAGTACCGTTATTTTTGTACTCGTAACTCGGTTTGATACAGGTACATACTATTACATAGTATAGGTACGTACTCGACTAGTACACTGAACCTTCATACATTACGTATCGCATGTACGTAGTACTCTTACTACGCGTTGCATAACAATTGAAATTACGTAAACTATGGTCCACGAGGCACGCATGTACATACCTAGCAAAAATCATGGATTAAAAATTACTGTATGTTGTTACATTTGAGGAGAACGGAATCATATACGCCATAGAGTTCCATGACACCTTGCCAAACTTTTCTCAGGAATCTAAATGACCTGGGCAGTGTTCTCGAATCTCTGTCTGARTGATAGTGAAATCTATTWATCATGGCACGACGAATGAAAGACAATATGTTAATGCAGATGCTGTTCGCGTTCATTATCTTCTTGCGATTAAGCATAGTGGGTGGATTATCCAATGCTTCCACAAATTTTTCCCAGRTGACACCAGGACAGCAATCAGCTCTCTGTGCCAAAAAAACACARATAATTGTGGTCGGAGGAGGACCTGTCGGCTTGTCAGCTGCCCTTCTGCTCGCCAACCAAGGGTACGATGTTACTGTCCTCGAAGCCACCGAAACCACAAAAATCAAGAYCTTCAACCCGGCGCTTGCCTACTTGTACAATATCAACGCGAGGGGGCAAATCTTTACMAAAAAAATCCCCAGCGCCCATAAAAAGCTTGTCGAAAGGAGTGTAYCATCCACCGATACTGGGTTTCTCTTGGCGCCAGCTGATTTGGAGAAAGAGATTAAGTATCCCTTAGTACCTTCGTTTGGAGACGWTTCGTATTGGATTCCAAGACATGAAATGGTTGTACTATTRTGGGAGGCTGTCGATGAACACAATAAAGAGTATGCGTCAGGAAATAATCACAATCGTGTTGGAAAAATAAGTTACGAGCACGGAGTGCAATGTCTTAATGTCCATCCATGTGCTGAACACGAGAACAGCGTGTCTGTTGTTACGAAAAATAAGGGTGACGGGAAAGAAAAAACTCTTAGGGCAGAACTAGTTATCGGAGCGGATGGTATCGACTCGAAAGTCAGGGAATGTCTCAAACAACGATCGGGTCTCTTTCAGTCATGGAATTATAACAAGAACAAGTTCAAGATGAGAAAATGGATCTCTCCTGCAACAGGCTTGAAGTTAAAGGTTGGTTTATTTCATTGATCTCGCGGCACCGTTTGTCAAACTTGATACTCTTTTCCTTAAACGGTTGATCGTACTTGTGTTGTTGATTCATTTTAAGGCACTTCAACTTCCAGCAGACAGGTATTTGGTGAAAGATGCCAGCGGAAATAAAGTTGCTACGAAAAAGAACGACTTTGTTTCAGTGAGGGGCAAAAGAGTCGGACCACTAGACACTTTATCTCTGTCGTGTCTACCTGTGAGTGAATCCACCAAGATTCGTCCAGGAAACTGYATAACTAGACCCAACCACGTATTATGGACAATGAAGAATGGGAAAGAGGTGAAGGCCTGGTTYAAAGATAATTATCCTAGATTAGATCTAGATGATATAATTTCAGATGATGAGTGGCAACGTTTTGCAGAAGCCGATGGGTTGACTTTTCCACCATGTCAATATAGTCCAGGTCTAATGGCATCGTCTCGCGATAATAGGTGCGGGATTGTTTTGCTGGGGGATGCAGCCCATTCGTTCAGTCCCGACATTGGACAAGGAATCAATGCTGGTCTCATGGATGCAGTAAAACTCAGTGAGTGTCTCGCAAACACCTCCCCCGACAAAAAGTCTGCAACTTTAGCCGAAAACAATCTGGGCGCCGCCCTCAAACAATATGAACGCATCCAGGCTCCAGAGGTAAGTGGCCCTACCCGGTTTTCCGACTTCAAACAATTCAATTGGATTTTGAATTCTAACCTACGGTCTATTTTCAAATCTTTTAGACGCGGGCACTGGTTCGCCTTGCCAGGTTTGGTAGCCCCTATCAATACAATCAGCCTCTTTTAAAGGATCGAATAGGGAAGAAACTTTGGACAGCAAATGTACTAATGCGTGTTCTTTTTAACAAGCTCACGTTCGGAATCTTTCCAAAACCTGTGGTGATGAATGTTAGCTCAAAAGACTTGACTTACAGACAGATTGCTCGCCAAGCTGATTTTGCTACATTTGGACTGGTGTTTGCCTTGATGTTTTCTGTGCTGAAGTTTGTGATGCGACTTCCATTCATTAGAGTACAGTTAGTTCCACAAGTTCTGACATTCATGCCATGAAACCTGGTTTAATGAATTCACCGAAGGATCACCATTTCCTGCCAAAAACAAAATAAAACACGTTACTATTATCAAAGTGACTGAAATATGATGTTCAACTGCTTTGCTCTGGTAGCTCATTAGAACCAAAAGTCATTATCGTCTTTGTCTCTGGCTTTTCTGTCTTGTTGTTGATTCCAACCTTTCTTCAGAGCTTCATGTGAAACTCAAATCTCAATACCAAAACCAAATCCTATAGGGCMACTTATCCAAGTACAAACACCCTGCTGTTGTGTCATATGTGCGACAATAGTTTGTTGTTCAAAGGCTCGTGGGTGATTGCATGTGGTATAGTCAAGTGAGGGGAGAGCACACCTAAAAAATCACCATRGTGATGGTAATTTTTATTGGAATTGCGTCATAACCTGTGGGAGTGACTATCCAATAGTGATGTAAATYGAGTGCTAGAAGAAAAGTGAGTTGATGCTCTTATTGAGAATCAAGGAACTATGAAATCTAAGGTTGATCAGAATGAAGATCGAGTGATGTGTGTGAATCAAATGAGTCAAGTCAATTGTGTGGATCCATAGGATCAAATGAGGAATCATGAATGTAGAGTGTGTATGGATCATAGRTATTGGCCATATGTACGTATCATAGATATGGATCATACGCACAACATGATATCCTCTGGATAGGACCCTCCTCCCCTGATCTGTGATGTGTGAAACAAGTAGATCATAGAAGAAAAGATGAGGAAGGAGGATATCATTTGGGTGGAGCAGGAGCAAACAAGTGCCCAAAGAGTCAGCGTACGTGGTGATTGTGAAGGACCCAGCCAAGAGGTTTTGTCCGTGCATCTGCAGGATTTATCACGCCATTGATGAACTGCATCTTGATGTATAGATCTCCTTTCCAATCTTGTATTACAAAAGTATGGTATGTCAAAGTGTCGTGCTGATTGTTCCATAGGAACTCCTGAGTTTAAAATTGTTGTTTTCATACAACATTGTTGGTTGTTGTTGAGGAAATCTGAGGTCAGCAAGAATACCTGAGGTATAAAATAATATTTGCAGCAGAAACAGCAGCATAGAATTCTGCTTTGGTTGAGCTTTGTGCAGTTTGGGTTTGSGTTTTCRATTTGTATACAATGATAGCGTTTGTTAACATAATTTTTTGTTTTGGTTTTATATTTGCGTATGCAACATCAACTACACAGGTGATGTTGGTGTGTGTAGGTAAAGATGGAAATGGTGGAAGATTATCTGGTAGTGGTATGGGTAAATCTTTGAAGTTACCATCTGGTAGTTCATTGTCTTGTAGGATTGTAGTTTTGTGGTATTGTAGACCCCACACTTTTGTGCCTTGAAGGTTAAGAGCAANATAGAGTTCTGGTCTATTTTCTGTCCACTAGTAGCCAGTCTCAGAAACTAGCAAAATATGGCCATGCCAGCTGTGAATGGAGATCCGGCTCCCCCTAATGCCCTTTAATTGTGTAACAATGACACACAGCACTCTTCTTAACACTATGACCAAGCATACCTCCAAAGGGGATCTCATTACAGGCCTCTCCGGAGCTGTTGTGTTTAGCATATTTTAGCTTATTGAACTATTTGTGGTCAAAAAAGTGACCAAAAACTAGTAGATCTATTTAGGATCAGTACTGAATTACTGGGTATCAAAATTAACCGTGATTTCAGTAGTAGTAAAATTTTTGGTGTTTGAGTACAATCCCTTTTTGCCCTGTAGGGCGTGGTAGGATTCTACCATTGATGCATTCTATCAAAATATGTGGTATTTTGTAGTACTGGGTGATTCCTGTTATTCTAAAATCTCTAAATTTGATAGACTGACAGACCAAAAATTTAGAGCATGTGACTCTATTTGTATTGGCATGCATATGTAGTCTGCATCAGCAAAACAATTTGTATTGGCATGCACATGTAGTCTGCATCAACTTTCACATGCCGCATATCATAGACTTTTCTTCATTGCAGTAATAATGTGAACTCATATTCATTACAGTATAAATCTTTATATTTCATAGCATTGCTCTCTATCAGCCAACATAGGGCAAGGTACACGCTAAAACCAAAAGGGTTACACAAAAACTGATCCTTCTGCAGTAACTGATCAGCAGTAACTGATCTGCAGTAACTGATCTGCAGTAACGGATCTGCAGTAACGGATCTGCAGTAACGGATCTGCAGTAACTGATCTGCAGTAACTGAGCTGCACCAGCAACATAGCAGCTAACAGCATGCATTATTTGAGTATGGTACTGCATTAAAGCAAGCACTTCCAAGTGCTAATAAACAAACCTTAAGGAAAGCAATGACCGCTTCCTTTTACCATAATGAGTGGATCATTGTGGATTGTTGGTGTGAATCAATTGCTGCGTTTGATAAATTGCTTGCTGTGTTTCCCACTGCTGTGATTCCATTGCTAATTGAGTCAATCATTTTGTTTTCTATTTACAGTTGAATTCCTTGTTAAACTTTCTTTTTCCCACTACCCAAATGAACCAATTGACCATGGGACATGTCCTCAAAACAAGCCATTTGTATCTGGAGACAGCTCAAGACCTACATAGAAGAAGCCTGTTGCAAGATCATTTTTCTTGTAGGGTTGTTCCACACCAGTTGCTTCATGACAGTGGATAGGATCTGGTTGTGTCCTATATTGCTGCATTGGTAGTTGTACAGGTTGACCAACAAGTTCATGATGATCTTCCTGTATACATGCTCCTCCAAGAACATTCTGTCTTTGATTATTGGAAACTGTCCTTAAATTATCCTCATTCCCCATTCTGACATCTGTCTCAAGGATGTACTAGCGTCCCTATTGATAAGAAGAAGATTGTCCTTCTCAGGGTCCTACTGTGAGCTCTTAATGAGGATATGCTCCTTGTCTTTCAATGCAAAGGCTGAATCAACCACAACCTTTGCATTGGACTGGTCATGGACCTCCTTGATCCTGTCATAGACGCCATGGTCAGCAATAGCATGATCATGCCAAGCGCCAGGACAGTTGAAGACTGAGATTCTAGTAATTCTACCATCTGTGGCAAAGACAAACACACTGTTGACAAAGGTGTTCTCCTTCCCGGTGTTGTAGTATACTGCTCTCTATTTAAACCAGTCTTCAGAGGCTTCAATAGCTCTCTTTAGTCCATCAGCAGCAGCCCAAACACTTTGTTCTCCAAGCCTAGGATACTTGTCTCCAATAGCCTTAACATAAGCATCCACTTCATACTCAGTTGAAACACTGACCATGGCGTCTGGGTGTTTGTGAAGAGCAACCAACATCACTGCTCTCCTTGAAAACTGAAGCCACTTGTACATCACTGTGGATGTCAAGCCAAATGTCATTGCCATCAACCTTGCTACAGATCCTCTTTTCCTGTACCAATAGAGGATCAGTCCAATAGCACAGACAGCATCAACCTCTCTCTTTTTCCCATTGGTCTTGCCACTGGGGAAACAAGGAACCTCCACTACCTCATTGTCAGTGTCAACTGTGTATGACATGCTGTAGACTGGAGCAAAAATATCCACAAGCTCCCTGAAGACTTTGTTGTCTACACCACACCAGCATTTGAGTAGTGCTTGGTGGTTGTCCCCTGAGTGGAAGAGATGAATGAAGGGGGAATTAGAGTATCTCCTGATTGCAATCTGTGATGTTCTCCTATCCCTCCTACAACGCTCTTCAGGAGAGAGCTTCTTAGTATTGTAACTTTGGTTATTCAGTTGAATGTATCAGTACATTGTAATGACCTCCACTACTCCCATTGTGGCCTTCTTTCTTTCCATGAGGAAACTGTGGTCTATTCATGAGTTTAATAGCAACTTATGCAAGGAACATAAATATTTTTGATGCAAAATTATGAAAGCATCAATAATATGCATGTTCTTTTCACTACAGATAGCCAGTGCAAGGAAGGAACATATTTTGGATACTACAAGAGCAGTATTGAAAATATGCTACTTCCTTCTACAAAGTATCGTATTCAAAATTTTGTGTTTTTCTTTGTACCAAGTGGCATGCGCGCCTCTTTCAGTCATTACGTTGGAGTATAGTGAAGATTCCAAATCCCTAAAAAGATTGGAATGAAGGCAGGCTTCCACTCAGTCTGTCCATTGAAATTTTGATTCCCATTATTCTAAACAACCTACTAGATCCCTACATTTAGTGCTTTACTAGAGTATTGAGAATAACGGGAATCACCCAGTACCAGTCAATTCAATATAAAGTGCATTAACCGTAAAAAGCCTACCACACCCTACATAGCAAAAAGGCATTCTAGTCAAACACCAAAATTATTACTAGTAAAATTGTGGTTAATTTTGAAGCCAAGTATTTAGTAGTACTGATCATACATAGATCTACTAGTATTCAATCACTCTTTCAATGCCAAACACCAGTTCAATAAGCTAACCACAACAGCTCCAGAAATGAATGAGATCCCCTTTCGGGATATGCTCAGTCATAGTGCCAAGAAGAAGAGTGCTTTGTGTCATTGTTACATGAATAGAGCCCAGGGGAGAGCTGGTTCTCTTTAACAGGAGCCAGTAGTATGGCCAAAATTGGCCAGTGGAGACTGGCTGCTGCTGGTTAGAAAATAGGCCAGAACTCAATCAAAAACCAACTTTAGACCACAAGACTAAGTGCCCAGACCAAGATGATACAATTACTTAGTGATCAAGGTCATTGGGATGCTTAAGGATGCTCTGGCAGCTTAGAACTAGTCTGCCGAAGTTACAGACAGTAGTAGTAGTGGGCCCAAAATCGAGCGTTAATTTTGGCTGTTTTTTTACTCAAGTTCAACCTCGTATTTCCTTTTTTGTCGTTCGTTGGGGTGTTTTATTTCAGTCCCGCATGATGAGTGTCAAAAAAATCGATTTAAATTTCTACTGGTATTGTACCGTATAAGGTACGTACGTACTGTACTGTAATTGAATTTGCGATGGAGTTTTCGTATCAAACGGCTTAATTTCTTCTAGGAGTACGTACGATGCTAGTATTAACATACCGGCATTCTTTCATCGCAAATCGTCTCTCAACATCGAAGAACAACGGGCAACAATCTTTTGACTACGAGTACCGTACAGCACTGATTTCTTTTTGATGCAACCGAAATTCAAATTGGGCATTCTTCCAATTAAGTTCTGCATCATCCAAAAGATTCTGCGCTTCAGAGAAGAAGAGCGTCTAACTCATAGAAATTTCGAATAGTGGCTGTAGTAGTAGTTGGGACTCACAGCCGTTACAAGGTTATCTCGGCTTATCCGAAGTTCTACCCGGTGATTACTAGGCACGGAATGAGATTCGTCCGTGTCATTTTCTGCTATATCGTGGCAACGATATCGTTGCCTTCGGCAATTCATGGACTGGTGATACCGGCTGTGCAAAACGCGAGGAATCCTTCAACGACATTTGGTAGCAAGAAGGACGAGATTCAGATCGACGACTTCAAGGACATAAATATTGACGATGTTCTTCTAGAAGCAGAGAATGCATTAAAGGCTGCGAAAACGTCTCTCGTCGACAGTGGTGAGACCGTGAACCAGGATGATAGTGACGGTTTGGTGAATTTGAAGGAGGCAATAATCGTCAACGACGACGTAAACAAAAAGAAGATAGAGAACGACGACGTGCTGAATTTTAAGGAGGCGATACGAGAATCTCTCCTTTCCGATAAAATTGAAGAGAAAGGATCTGTGTTGGCCACCGAGATTTTATCCTCGACGATTGGTGGGATTATGTTAGGATTGATCCTGGGTTCTGTTGGAACCCTGAAACTTTCGGGACTCGACCCGTCGCTTGGAGTGTTGAACCCATTTGGTCTTGCCGTTCCGATTATTGTCGGCGTGACAGTGGGTGGAGTAGCTGGATTTACAGGTAGTTCAAAAGACGACGCGACAGGAATCRTTGTTCGCAACGTCCTGGGTCTTCCTGTAAAATCATTGGCATCGGCCATTGTTAACAGTATCCAGCAARCTGCCCGTCGTCAACTGGAAAAGACAACGAATGACATTAAGGCAATTCCATCAAATGTTGCCAACTCTGCGAAGCAGAAGGCTTCGCAGAAGGCAAAAGAAGCTAAGATTGCTGTTGAAATAGCTGTTGAAGCAGCGATAGAGCAAGCGAAAAAAGTTATATTGGTGGTGGTTGGGTTGTTATCTCTTGTCTTTCTGGGTATGCTCATTACAAATTGGGATATTCCAGTGATCTTCGATACRACACTGTAATAATCTCAAACAACCCAACCWACCTAAGATGCAGACTGACTGATTTAAGACACAGATCAGTGACAGTCACTGCCATATTGGATAATCGATAATAGATATCATAGGGACTCTGATGACAAATAATAATGAAAGTGTTTTGTGTCCCTTTTGAACATTTCACAGAATAGATGAAAAAAGGTCTATGCTGTACCAGTTGACATASCTTTGTATTGCAYTAACACGTAGGCTGGGWTCATTTAAAAATCTCAACATTATGTGCAACCTCATGATCTAGAAGAGGCACTATGTTGGCCAGAACCATGACTTCTGGGGAGAAGAATGCTCCTAGCTGCTCTGAGGGGTGGCACCTCCCTCTGAGGAGTGGTTGTGGAGGCGTGACCATTGACATTGGTGGGCTGATTAGTGTGTTGGGTGAAAAATTGTGCCTTTGTGCCATAGTGGTTTGTAGGGTCCAATTTGAAATGGCAGAGGCCCGAGTAGTCTCTGGCAAAGTAGGCAGTTGGTGTTGTCTCTTCTTGGAGTACGTGTTGAAGACCAGCACCTATTGTGTGAAGCTCTCCAATGTTTGTTTACTGTGAGCTYAATACTTGGTTTGAAGGCGTGTGTTGGAGGCAGATGTGAGAGATGCTTTGCAGATGCTTGCATAAATTGGTTTTTCATATACTCAGAGGTAGTACCAGAGCAAGGAGGTAGGTGCTTCAGATATGAATATTTCAGGATCCTTTGGTGTTTTTATTCAACATCATTTTAGTGCTTGTTTCTGAGAAAGAGTGTGGCAGCAAAGGTCGTCATTTCTCTGTTCTTCCCATAATGAGATGTAAGAGGTAAGAAAGAATTCCACTAGATAASTCCCCATAATTGGGGAATGTGAGCTGGAATGAAGATCAGTGTCAGTGATCCACTGAAGTGAAAAGTGGCCAGCAAACAGGTGGTGCCAGYCAATCTCATTCTGAAAATGAATAGCAGGGTGGAGGGGTTAAGGATATTGTTCTGGTGAAAGAGTACCAGTATCCAGCCATTTAGTAATGCAACTTGAAAGAGTATCAGGGGCAATTTATCAGAACAAGCTGAATACAGACATCTGTTGTCCCAAAGAATGGATTGTCTGTTGACACCATTTCTGTTGGGTGGGATGAGAACATTGGAAGAAATGCTGGGAATCTTTGGTGGGTTGYGAACAGAAACAATAGGTGTCATTGGGTTYRAYATTTCCATTTTTTGAGGACTGTAGCAGTGGGGGAAATATGATTGCAGCATTTAGTGACAAGAACAGTCATGGAGATGCAATTGTTATCAATCCTGTGGGACTTCCACACAACATCAACAATTGTATGAAAAGTCTATTGGTTCCTTGTTTCTTGCAAGCACTATGCATGATAATGTGAAACCAGACAAGAATCGGTGAGTGCTTTCTTGGATTGGCTGCTACTGACAGGCCATGATTGAATTTGAAGGACAGTAGGGTAAAGAAGGTAGAACTGGCTTGATAAAAGGTGGCGGTGTCATCTGGGTATGATAGGTGCCACCAGTGTATTGATCAGCTTCAACATTCAGCTGAGCCATCAGAGTGAGTTTATTGAAAACAGTGGTATTGTCTTGGTGGCCTTTAACCCAAGAAAATAATGCAGAAATATGAGGTGATTGCATTGTTTGGATAATTTGTT